TCCAGGAAGCCGAATACAATTTTTTATTTCCTTTTAAAATTTATTTGTTAATGCAGGTGTGGTGGTTGAATGGCTCGAGAGATGTTGCTTATAGCAAGGGGCCGGCATGTTTAGGCCACTAGACTAAACCAAACTTTGAAAAGGGTGAACCACCCTAATGTTCATGTGCATACACACACCCATATGTACATACATACGAATATGAGCATATAAATAATTGCATTATTTTTCCCGCCAATTATTATAACGAATTAGCCAAATTTCCCCTCAGCACATCTCGCTGTTTGAGGATTCGGCTAAATCTGTCAACAAATAGAGCGGCCATTCCAGTGTTTCACTTAATAGAGCACGGACGCCTATCAGTCACCACCCTTCATCACACACCATACAGGTAATATTTCGTATTCACCTTATATTTGTATATGTGTATACATACATAATTAATAATTCAAACACATATTTGACGGAGAATTAATTTTTCGTGGCTTTATTTATTTTCTCGGCCTACACTGAAAATACATTGGTGCAACCTACGGCAACATACGGAGCTTCGAAGAAAGTAGTTGCACCTATGAACAGACCTCTTTGGCAAAATAATTAGATCTCATTTTGAAACACCTAGGTCGTATTTAGGAAAACGACCATTTAACCTCAGTATACCATCTGTCAGATAGGGGTTTAACGACGCGATTTTTGATGAATGCTTAACTTGTTGTCCGCTCGCTAATATTTCGTACTCCTCGCTGTAAAAATTTCGCTATGTGTGTTCGATCAAGTACATCTCCGTTGTTTGATTTCTCGAAGTATTGATTTTTATGGAAAAAGCGCTTCAGGCGAAAATTTTTAATAAAAAATCGCGCGATTTTTTATTAAGAATTTTCATTATTTATCGAAGTATTGATTTTTATGGAAAAAGCGCCGCATGGGAAAATTTTTAATAAAAAATCGCGCGATTTTTTATTAAAAATTTTCATTATTTATCAAAGTATTGATTTTTATGGAAAAAGCGCCGCCGGCGAAAATTTTTAATAAAAAATTGCGCGGTTTTTTATTAAAAATTTTCATTATTTATATATATATTAAACGAAAGAAGATACCGAAAAGCATTGAACAGTGCACACACCTTATAAGGAAAAGTGAATTATTACGAAATACTAATACAGTGGCAGCACTATAGCTATTTTGGAATGTCGCGTTTCAGTTCGCAAAGATTGTCAACTTCTTTTTAATAACAAAATAATCTATCTTAGGTTAATAAAACTATGTGTTTGTTTAATAAATAAGTTAAATTATATATTTTAATAGTGTTTAAAAAGTGAGAACAGGTGATTTAGTGAATGTTTGTCGGTGTAATTGCCCATAGAAAACAACGAAATTTAACAAAAGCTTTTTGTTCATAACTTTTAAATGGTTAATAATATTAGCCTTCCCCCTCCGGATTGTTAATAGGGGGACCGAAACGCGTCGTTTGGTACCCCTCCCGACTTTTCCGGACCTTTTTTAGGGGTTGTTACCCTACACTAGAGAATTACCGTTAAATAAACTGAAGCTTTCAAAGCAAGCAATGTAAAGTATTGAGATGTCGACTTGGATTTTATAACAGTGCAGAAAATTTCTACAGTCGGGCGTTGTTTACTACAGTTTGCAAAAACTTACAGGAATGCAAATCGACGGTGGAAAAGTGCTGCCCTAAATTAAAACGTAGAGTCGGAAGTGAGTCGGTGAGTTTTTGTATTCTTCATATGTTCGTTTATTATGGAATTTTGGTAAACTATGTTTGTGTTTAAGATTTGAAAACAAAAAAAAAAAAATTAAATATATTGTATTATACAGTAAACTGTTCTGGTAGGGACGTTTCCTTCCTTTTGCAAACATACATACATGTGCGTATGCACGTTAGGGTCGTTTTTGTATTGGGGAAAATAAAGGTTATCTGTTTGTTTTGTAATAGTGATATTATGTTGATTTAGGAATAAGAAAATCGCATTTGGTCACCGTCGATACGGTTCACTCACGTAGCCTAGTGTGTAAGCGTGCTACACACGCCTACTAGAACACATGCTCAATTATTTCAAAATCTCTTGAGGTGCGACTATTCGTTTTTATATTTGTATGTTAATCTGCCCTTCGGTCATTCTAAGACGGAATCTTGCGATTCTGCAAAGATTTTTAAGCACAAAAATTATATGCGCTTCTTTTTTGATGAATGATGGTTGTAAGAAATCGGGGGGTTTATTATACCTAACAAGTGAGAATACAGTATGCAGTGTTAAATATCTATTGTTTGCCTATTAAGTAGTGGAATCGATAGATAAACAAGAAGTGGGATTCGCAGTTGGTTTCACATGGAGAGATAGTTGCTGGGTTATTCTTACACCCTACTCTGGACAAGAATTTCTTTGCACGTATGAGTGTAGACGTTGTGGATTGTATGTAATTTTGCGGGTTTTGCGAAAAAGTGGGATAGTTTAGGTTTTAGAGAAGTGGAGTTTTGACTGAAAGTTGTAGTATTGTTGCCCAGTACCATGGAGTTGCGTATGGCGCTCAATTATTGCGGTTGTTGTGCCGCGCCTCCACTTACTTTCTGCGGGTGTTATTGCGAATTGGTCGTAGGTTGCGTTCGTACAACCAAATGTGCCTCTTTGGTGTGAGGACTTTTTACGAAGGGTAGCTTCAGTCCCTCCCCCGCCCAAAGAATTTGGCAGTAATTTTCGCCGTAGTTTTGGCGTTCCTGTGTTAAACTATTTTTCTTTATTGAAAGTGTTGTTTTTAGGTGGCCTTTTGAGGACGTAAGCCGCTTCTTTAATGAGACCGCATTAAAGAAAGATGCGCGTTTAGTGGTTAGGGATTTCGGCTCCGTCTGGCCAGTTACTATCCAGCCGAAGACGGTTTCTTGTGCAAGTAGAGTTCCTTTCCTTTGGATACCATTTAATATTATCTGGGCATAAATATCGCCGCCCAGGATAAGATCAACGTGTTAATTTCTGAAGAAGTTCTTGTCCGCTAATAGTAGGTCCGGAAACGCTTGCCTCGTCTTAGCCTTTACTTCGCAAGTCGGTAAGTTTCCGGTGAGTTGCGGCAGAACTAGGACTTGCGTATTTATATTGATTGACGGGTCAATGGGTGACCGCAGTTGAACGACGCACGTTTCTTTTACTTGTGCAGAAACACTGTTGTTGATGCCTGATACCTGGGCACGCATTCTCTTTGATGGTAGGTTGATTTTGCGTTTAAGGCTTTCTGTTATAAAAGAGGCTTCTGATCCGGAGTCTATAAGTGCGCGGACTGTAAAGTTATTATTCGCGTCTTGCTTGGGCTTGAGCGGAAGATGAGGCGATGTCGTCTGTAGAAAAGGAATTAGTAGTTGGAAAAGTTGCTTTTGGCGGAGCCGTCTGGGAGTGGAGGAGCGTATGGTGCCTCAAGTGACATATTCTACAATTAAATGAGCTTTTGCACCTCGACACCACATGTCCGGAGGATAGACAGTTCAAGCAACTGTTATTATTCTTTAGGAAGGAGATTCTATCGGCTGTTGCTAGGTTGAAAAATTCTTGGCAACTTGATAGCTTGTGCTCGTTGCTCTTACAGAAAGTGCATATTGCCTTGGGTACGCTTGCTTGGAATGGCTTCAATCTTTTTTGCTGACTTTCCATATGGTTGTTACTATTGTGCGGTCCTGTAGTTGGGTAATTTTTACCGCCTCTAATGTCTGAAACGGTTTCTAGAGTTTGAAATCGTTGTGATAGAAATTTATTCATGTCTACCCACTTTGATATTTCAGTTTTGTTTTCAATTGTTTGCTCCCATAACGCTAATGTAGTTTCTGGTAACTTAGTCGAGCATAGATATGTAATAATTGCATCCCAGTTTGAGATGTCAATTTGATGACATTGTAAGGACGAGATGCAATTATTAATATCGCGCTGTAATTTTTTAATGGAGCTGCCACACTCATTCTCTACCGCCTCTAAGTTAAACAGAATCTTGAGTTGAGTATTTACCAGGATACGCTTATGCAGTTTGAAAGCCTTCGTTAGTTAAGTGACATTTACTCACGATCTCTCTGGCCTCCCCCTCTGTTTTTTTGTTCAGGTGGAACAATTTTTCCACAGGGGTGAGGCGCTTGTTGCGTATATATATGGCCGTAAACATGTCTCGGAAAGTCGGCCAAGAGAGATAGTCGCCTTTGAATACGTCCGTATCACACGGCGGTAGTTGAATATTATGTTCTCGGGCGGCCATATCCTCTACATCATTGTCATTCTTTACTAACTTTGCATGGAGTTCTGCCATGTTAGACATGCCGCTCAGGTATACAGCATACGAACTTTTGTACTTCGGTTTCACAGTGGCGACTCCTGTGGGGTCTAACCTATCGGAATGTACAAGTTCCTCATACGCTGTCTTTACCTTCCTCCATATGGCTTTATAATAATAATAATAATTATTATTATTATTATTATTATTATTATAGATATAGATATAGATATAGATATAGATATAGATATAGATATAGATATAGATATAGATATAGATATAGATATAGATATAGATATAGATATAG